TATTCCAGGAAAATATTTTAACTTCTATAGGATGGCTCAAAAAAGTGTGAGTGGATTGGGATGCTTTTTTTAAATGGAACACCCTGTATATTATTGCATTTTTGGCTTTCTTTCAGGTCACTTTACATAATCCTTAGATATGAGTAAATATATTTAGATAGTTTCAGAGATATTAATAAATAAATGAAAAATATATATTTTTCAGCCTTTCTTAAAAAAATTATTAAAAATACAAGAACTGTCCTGAAATCAAAACTATATTAGATATTTACTTTAGATGGTCTGTACTTACTTCACTATAAATATGGTAATCGTATATCATACAGGATGTTCAAAATTTTACGCTAAACTTTCTAAAATATAAAAAAAATTTCTTGGTTTTTTTTTACAACCTAACCTTTATATTATTTTCTCAATAGATGGAGAATTAAAAAATGAACATTTTTTGTATTTAGAGTATGTATTTCAAAATTTTTAACGGTTTCGCAGATATTCGCGGTTTTATATTTCATATGGCATTTTCCATAGTAAATTTTTATCAAAACCACCCAATGATTTTTCTCTCGTATGTTACCGTTGATAGAGCCATATGAAATAACACTGTATCTGCGAAACCATTAAAATTTTTGAAATACCTTAAATACAAAAAATGTTCATTTTTGAATTCTCCATCTAATAAAAAAAATAATATACAGGGTATTCCAGTTTAGCTAAACCTAGTTTAGGGTTAGTTAAACTATACTGCCAGTTAAATACTTGCACTTATCTCTGGAACACCTTGTATATCTCGTCAAAATCCGCATTATATATATATATATATATATATATATATATATATATATATATATATATATATATATATATATATATATATATATATATATATATATATATATATTTTACGACGACATTCGTCGTCTCCCGCTTCTCAACTTCCACAGATTTCTGTCTATCCAGTCTTCTTCCTGGAGGCCCCTAGAATTCATAGCGTCAACTACGCCCTGCTTCCCTGTACTGAGTACAGAAAATACATTGAGCCGGCCATCACAATTTATTAAAATTTTAAACTGTATATGTTAATTATTGTGTCATGTGGGTGATATTGTATGAGTATAATTTTAAGTTAAATGTTATGTGTTATCACCTGTTATTTTATGCACCCATGTTTTAATACAAGTTTGACGAAGGAAATGTACGTTTTGTGGCTTTGAAAAAGGTTAAAACTGGACCGAAACGTTAGTTATATAATAAACACTTCCTAAACCCAGAAAAAGTTTAATATTGACCAAAAGCCAAGAACCTTATAAATAAAAAATATATTAGATATATATATATATATATATATATATATATATATATATATATATATATATATATATATATATATATATATATATATATATATATATATATATATATATATATATATATATATATATATATATATATATATATTATATATATTATATATTTTATATATTATATATATATATATATATATATATATATATATATATATATATATATATATATATATATATATATATATATATATATATATATATATATATATATATATATATATATATATATATATATATATATATATATATATATATATATATATATATATATATATATATATATATATATATATATATATATATATATATATATATATATATATATATATATATATATATATATATATATATATATATATATATATATATATATAAAAAATATGTGTCTAACCGCCGGTAAACATGTTTAATATAACGTTCTGTAACGTTTTATAATATAACGTTTTTATTTATTGGTTATAACGTTTTTTATTATGGTTATTCTTTTTTTCTAACCCAAGAATGTATTCTTCAAAATTCCGCTATACTGCATTTCGAAAGAAAATTTTATAGGTCCTATTTTGAAAAATAATATCAACTTGTGTTATACCGTAGATACTTTTATGCTCTATCTAAAAATATTAAAATATATAGAGCGTGCTATTAAAAATTCTTGGTTAAACCGGAAATGATATTCAATTATTTTTTTAACGGAATATGCGAGTTTTGATTAACTAAATTTTATACTAAGTTCAAATTTATTGGTAGTAAAGCAGTGGTCTGAGGAACGATTTTGTTGATACCTAGTAATATTTAAATTTGAAATATATGTTCTTTCTTTATGACTTCTTGACATTTATTGAATTGTTGTAGATAATTTACAATTATTGTATATGTTGGAGGCAGATGCCGAATTCGGCCTATGTCCGAAATAATTAGACATATGGCGATTTGTCCATACTAAACTTGCCAGATGCGTGCAACTTCGTGGTTATAAATAGTCTTTATATAACTTCTTTCCGGAGGGGGTTTCTCTCTCTTTTCTCTATCTTTTTTTGGTATAATATAACAACAAAACATTAACACCCTCCGCAGAGAAGTTGAAACCAATGCAATCAAAACTCTTTCGCGTAACTTTGTGGATATAGGTAGGTATATTTAATTATAATCAGTCAATATGTCTAATTATTTCGGACATAGGCCGAATTCGGCATCTGCCTCCAACATATATAAGTACATTTTTACTCTTCATATTATAAACATTAATGTGTGTTTCAAAAGTAGATTGCTTTTGAAATATTTTTTAATATTATATGGTTACTGGTAGGCAGTGGCGGTTCTTGATGTTATGAAACCAGTGTTGCACTATCAGGATTGTTCAGTAAACATTGCGCTTTACGCTAATGAATGATTAATTAAGCGTATTTAGTTGCACTTATAAAGATGTGTATTACACAGGAGAGAATTATAAGCGTTAAAGCTGAAACTTGACCGAAATTATGTATATTAATTGTTCTAAGTTTAGAGAAAAGTAACCAAATATGGAATACCATTTTGTTTTTGTGTTATATAAAAAAATTGTTTTAAATCAAAAACATTTTTCTTAGTTATTATCAGTCATACAGTTGCACATAACGTAATAAATGTTTTCTGTTACATATGTATTAATTTAAAGTATAACATTTTCTCAAACAAAATAAACATAAAGGCACCTAATTATGGAATAGGTACCCAAATATGGACTACTCTCGGGACTACTATAAACTATGAATAATAATTATTTTTTACGAAATACTACAGGAACTTTGGTTATATTTAAAAAGTAATTTAAGTTACTTGCAAAAATCACAAAGTCAGGTGTCGTACTCTGCACCTGTGCCATCACAATTTGTCCAGAGCCCGCACATGAAGCATTGGATGCATATCTCTATCGACTCTCTTGAGAAAATACGCCGCTACAAAACATACACTGCATCTTCTGAGTCAGGCATCCTGTTCTATTGCGGCACGAGTTCATTGTTTATGTCAAAATGTATTTCATCTTCATTGTGTGAATCCATTAGACTTTTTTATATTTAGATTCCACATACTGTCAATATTTGGAAATTTCAAACTAATCAAAACGTACATCAGATTTTTACTAGACACATTCGTCACGAAAAGACCTGTAAAACATTCACACAAACCAATGTACCGTTATAATAAACAATATTATTTGCTCACGTATTAAGAAATACTTATTTTCTGAGTATCTTCAAAACATTTCTCATAGCGCTGAAAGAAAACACTTTCATCGTGGCCACAAAGCCCGTTTGACTGACAAGGCCAAACTTGTACGTCAGTGATGGAAAGAAACTAAAGATCATGATATAAAGACAACAAGGTATGATCGATAGCGGCTCCAATTTCGTTCAGTTTGCGCATATCACCTGTGACGTCACTACGCCATACAAAAAAATTCATATTCAATTGCTACTAATAAAAAAAGATGGGGAAGAATTAGGACATAATCATTTATAAAGTAACCATATTTTCTCCAAACTACATTCTGTGAAGCCCAGCCGGTGAAATGGGTATATAAATCCTCTGAGGGAATTTGCATAAGTCGCTCAGTTAGGGCTGCTCAAGCGTAGTGCGCAAGCCTGAATTTTGAATTATCGTTCGGATAACTAGACCAATAAGAGACTACACGCTAGCACCAGCTGTTCATTCGTACGGCTTCGTCGAACTTCGTAGGGCTATTGTTTGCGCTCCTGTTTGACAATTGGCTAATCCTTAGAGTAAGGGCTAATCGATATTCGGAATTTTGAAGTTGCGCTATTGCGCCAGTGTCTGCCTAACAGACGAACTTATGTGAAATATACATGGACCGGTTATCTAGTTGTCTCTAACTCGACTTCAGCTCCAACACATTGCAGGGATAGGCGATAATCTTTATATAGTATATAGTTTATATGTATATGGACATAACCTCAAAATGTGTATATAATATGTGTATATCATTGAGCTTGACATTTGAAAAGTCATTTTCACATTTATTATGTGTCATCAGTTTGACGATTTGAAATTGGCTGAGATAGTATTTCTATTTTTCTATTCATATTTTTTGAAATTGGCCACATAGTCGCAGGTGATATCTGCACTATTGGTACACAATAGCGCAGACGGTACGTACAGCTTTTACTGGTGATTCTACACTATTGTACTGGTGATTCTACACTATCATACCTTGTTTTTTTTGTATCATGATTAAAGATCACTGTCTTTTTTTGAAATGGTGGTATTCCTCATTTTAGGGATACTATCCATATTTGGTTACTTTCCTCCACCATTGCAGAACACTTCCTTAGGCCTGTTATAAAATAGGTACACCGGTTTAAAACCGTTTTTAGGCTAACATCGGTTGCCAAATATGGGCTACCTGATGTACCGGTGTTATGTCACAAGCGGTGTTGATCTCGAGACCTAAAACCGATTTTCAAATCTCAACATCGAACAGGTCTATCGCAGGTAACGCGGTAACGCAGCCGTGGTTTCGTAATCTCCACTAACCACCACTGCTGGTAGGTATAATTTTTATTTAAGTTTAGGACTTAAAATATATCGATTTTTCTGAAAAAAATATGTCAAACTAACATTACATATTTCTAAATTTAGAATTTTATTACTGCTAGAAGATTTTTTGTGGGCGAGCCAGTGTGGACACCGTATAATCGCCCAGCTGATGAGATGCAGGCAAGAAAAGAATATATAGAAAATTTAAGTAATGGCAAGTTTGTTAACGTACACTAAATAATTCTAAGCACACCTTTACAAGATGTTATTTACATGAATAAGGAAACATTTAAGAAGGGAGATAATAAAGTGCCTGTTATCTTGTTTTTAAGGTTTAATATTCTTTTATTTTAAATTTAGAAGCAGATTGTAGATTTATGTTATATATCAATATAATTATTAAATATATATATTGGAATTCCACTGTTTGGGATTCCAACACTTTGTTGTCTGGTTTTCTTTCAAACTACATCAAAAACTAAAAAATTGATCTTTATGTATGCCAATCATTAAAAAAGGCATTACATATAGTTTCATATTTACTTTAATCAAGTTGATGGCAGATCTTCAGTCTTGGTCTAGGAAAGACCAGCCTGGTTAGAAAAGACCTGTCCTTTCCGTTATGCTTTACGAAGAACAGAGAATATGGAAAATTGGAACAGTTGGTACGTACAGTTATTCGGACGTTAGAACCAGAGCCACTACACGTCGTACGTGACGTATGGACTTGTTTGCAAATTTATTTTTTGATATTTTTTTGTAGTTTGTTGGATGGAGTGGATAGTCCTTTTTTAGTTGGTGGTGAAATGGAGGACATTTATATTGCAAATAGGTTCACAAAGTAGTTCAATTAGCAGAACAATTCAACAAAATTGAACATTGAAAAAATAAAAAAAATTGTAGAAAACTAACAATTATTGCGGTTTTTTGCTTATAATTCCTAGGTCATGTATACAAAAAACATTGTACCACAGTTGGCAGCTAAACTAAAAAAAGAAATAAAATACATGGTTTGATCTGTGGGAGGGGCAAATTTTGCATAAAATCAAAACTAATGCACAGCACTTTGCCAGCTTTTGCTTTGATTTGAAATTTTCGTTTCAGTTCAAAAAATGATTCAGCTTTATGAAGATGTATTTTTTTCGCTTTCAAGTTTGTCTCGTCCTTCTGTACTAAGGTTTGCACGGTTAAGCTGCTGCAAAAGTTTATCACACTCTGAACAAGTGTCAGACCTCGGAAATCCAAATTTTATATAAAAATGCATTCTAAACACTTTCCAGTACGTTTTGTATGGTATGCTTATTTTATAACTTTGCCGTGCATATCCTTCAAGGTAAGAGATGCTTGTAAATCGAAACAGTTTGGATTTTTACGACGTGAATTATGTGAATCACTAATGGTGTGGTAATTTATCAGTATATTTCTGCTTTGGCGTATATGAACAATCAGCTTCTGAGAGCCGCCTATCCTTCTGCTTTCTTTTTTTGTTGCATTCTTTTGGCGGTGGTGTTTGTTGACTCGAAGAAGACGCCATGGTGTTTGAACAGCCTACATCAGAATTCTTGGTTTGGTTTGGTTGGTTGAGAAAACATCCAATCAGCGAAAATAACGTCATTCAGAGAAACCAGCCCAGTGGTTTTAAATCGACTTTTAACTATTCCCACCGTTGCATGATTTTATATATGCGCATTAAATAATTTACCTGCTTGTTAGTGAGTAACGATTCTGCCAGGATGTGCCCCTAACTAACGCCTAACTACTTGATTATAATAAGTCGTTAGTGGCTCCAAGAAACTCACACCTAATGGCTGCAAGAGTGGCGGTGAGTGGGCAGGAAAACAGAATAATATAATGTTATTTTCCTTTGAATAGGTTTATCCAACATGCGACTGTAAAATGGTGTCCTCGTTCCGCATTGGTTGGTGTTCCCACCCGTTTCCTTCCGCGTTGTGCCAGATTTTTTTCGTTTTTAATCGGTACAGTTTAGAATCCTGATTCATGCATATTTGCTAGGGAGGTATATAATTTTCGTCCTGCTCAAGCCAAGGAAGGGACTTCTGGTATCCTACTTAAAGTAGCATTTCGTATAAAAAGAATATAAACCAATCTTACAACCCGCATTTTTTTTCTTTGTTGAAATTGTGTTTGATTTCTATTCAACAGGAACGCTACCTTACGCAAGGGAACTCGGGGCAAGAAGGGGACGCTAAAGTTTTTTGTTAATAAAAATACAAAAAAATAATCAAAAAATAAACTTTATTTTTCAAATGATTCACATAACATCTAAACGGTATTTGGCTTAAAAATATTTGATTTAAGTAACGTCAAGAATATAAAAACTACATATACACAAAAACAATTTAAAATTACATGTTACCCCGGGCAGGGGGTACAATGGGACAGCCAGCGGGGTAATATGAGGTATTTACAAAAATAAATCTATTTACAAAAATCACATATGACTGATTTCCATCATGACCCTTATTTTCCAGCGCAAGAATTATGCGACCACTTTTGACATATTTGACAGGCAATCCATCCTTCGGTTGATTCTAAGTACTTTCCAGAACAATATTTGCATTCTGCGATATCTTCAGTTGTAGTTGAAGGGACATAACTAGCGTACTTTTTATTTTTTGAGTATCAACTACAGTGCCTTCGATAGTTTGGCAACACATAACTTCATATTCTTTAGGAGTCACGTGAGCATATTTTAATTCGTGCCACAACGGACACTGCGCTCATGTCCTGATTTCCACCTACGCTTAATGTGCGGCCTCACATGTGTTACCGGATAGCGGATAGTCCCTGTCGCATCCCAAGAAGGCACAGCCTGATCTGAGATCTGAGACCATTCCCAGAATATCATCCGATTGTAATTCGTCTAGTAGTCCGTTTTGTACGAACTTGATTATTCCTTGGCATTCTCGTGCCATATTTAGAAATTTGGAATCTTAAGTTTTGGTTGATTTTTTTCTTTGACCTCTTCTAAATTGGGGATAGAGTTTAGAATTGCCTTGGCGTTTCCTCGTCTTCTTTTTTTCCCGACCTGAAACAAATGGTCCGATCGGAACTGGACTTAAGTCAGTTGGTGTAATTATAACTGACCCGTGAGTCTTCTTAGCCGCTGTAGTAATGGGATGGAATCTTTTGTGGTGGAATAATTTCCCTAATTGGATCCGGGATGAAATTAAATGAAATGCGTTTATTGTTGATTGCTAATAAATCACATTAATATAATGTAAAAAACACAAATAAGTAAAGTATTGTAGCACAAATTTAGTGCTACAACAAATTGTTTGTGGCATATATACAGTTTTTCAGCTTTTTAACAAACAGGTCTAAGCTTGATATAACTTTAATACATGAGGGCAGATAATTAAACAGCCGTACAGGGGTGGATGGGGAAGTGGAAACCGGCTCGAGAAAAACAGACAACCGGCCCAAATCCACAAAAACAAAATTACCATAACGAAGCAACATATTTTATTTATTTATATTTATAAGTAAGGGTGTTTTTCGCTCATGCGAAAAAACTCTTTTGCCTCTGGTTTTAAAAAAAAATTAAATTGTCTTGATCAAAATTTTAGTAAAGATCAATACTGGGTCGGACATCTGAACTTTTACTACAAAATGGCAGTTTTACAGTGTTCTACTGCTTTATTTCCATTATCGATAACGGTAATTTGATCTTGAATAGGCTACGATTTTGAGTAACGATTTTGAGAAACTTTAAGACTTCCTGATTCATTGAGTTCAGCTGACCCAATCCTCTATGAAATATATTACTTTTAGCTTTTCGGGTATATACTTTCTTACACATTGTAGAAAGAAATTCTCTCTTTTCTGCTACAGCAGCAGCCTCCTCATGTACGTACACTTGTTTTTAACTGAATGAACCGCGGTCGCCATTAGAACCGCAGCATTTTTTAGGTTATTATATAGTTCTTATCACAGAACTTTTCCTCTATACTTTTCTACATTTGGCATCTTGTATGATAATGCCATGACTCAAACGAAAAAAACCTAGGCAATACCTAGGCAGTGGATATAAATGTGTTCTGATGTAATGCTATGTTACAGTACATAATAAGAATATGTGTATTTTCGAGACATATTAATATTTTATTATCTAATCTAGTTTAAACCTTATTTTACTCTGCTGTCTCAGTATTTTTTAGCAAATTCATTTTAGCAACATTTTAAACAACAATATAGGCTTAGCTTTGAGTCCGTCCCCAATTCAAGCCAAACATAAATATGTTTTCTCCGTCAACCGCAGAGTTCGCGTCAAATTCGTTTTACAAAGGGGAGCTCGAAAAATATTGCACCGAGGACCCAAGTTGTCAATCTACGCTACCGTATTCTTAGTATACATTTAGATCGAGACTATCTAAATTTACCTAATTGCTATTTATTCATTTTTTTGCTGCCAGTCAGTCATATTTATTAGTAATTAATAAAAGAATAGTGGGTAAAACTATACAGGGTGAGTCTTAAATAAGTGCAAATATTTTCAGGGGTGGTATATTTCGACCGCAGGAACACGTCTATGAGTTTTTTTTGCAAAAATAGATGTTAAAAATCGAGCATTTTCTCTTAAATTTTCCTGTATATTTTAGAAAACTTTTTAGAACTTCCTGTTCACCGCAAATTTTTCCACGGTATAGTTCCTTAATCTTTGATATTACGGCACTAAAAGAGATGCAAATATCGAAAAATTGAGGTGGCTTAAATTTTTTTAAAAATAAATCTTTTTTTTTTAATTTCTTTAAGAACTTAGTAACTAATAATAGTTGGGCTTATTTGAAACTCGATAAAGAGAATATATTATGTTTATTTTATTGAGATCTACCAGCCCTGAAAATATTTACACTTATAGACTCACCTTGTAGGGTAGGATAGCGCAAGAGTACGCACTTAATATTTATTGCTGAATAACATTGAAACAAAGTCGTTTTAAGGTTGAAGTATATTTAGGAAATTATAAAACATGCATTAATTTAAACATATAACATTCCAAAAGTAATTTAAAAATGTATTTGACAAAAATATCTAAGTTTAAATAAAAACATGCAAATGCGTACTCTTTGGTGAATATCCCCTAAGAGTTCGCACGTAAATTCCTAAGAGTACGCATTCTAATTGTACGAGTTAACCAATCGTTAAAATTACTTGTCACATAAATCGCATAAGAAACTACCACTTCCAAGATAATTAGAACAGTCCTCATGCCACCAAGTTTGGCAAACACGGCACATTAACCAATCAGAGTAACTAAAATTTTCATTGCATCCTGGACAGATAGTGTTGTCTATTTTAGTTGCTGAAGCTTGTTTACACTTGAGAATTTTTCTTTTTCCCTTTTGTGCCTTTAGTTTTTCTTCTGTCTGTTCTAATAAATGTTCTTTATATGGGGTAGAGGACAGAATTTCAGACCTTTTAGATTTTGTTTTCCTAATTTGCTCGTATTTAGCTTTTGGCAGCGGTAGAATCATTTTGGGTGTTACAGAACAACATGGGTCAGATTCATTTAATTTAACAGAAGATAAACTGTGTCGTGGACTCTGATTTGCATATTCTTTTTGATTTTGATTAAATATTGGACTATTTGTTGGTGTCCTATTTTCTTTTTCTATTGTTATTTTTTGTTTTTCTTGTCGCTGCAATTCAGCCAGTGGTATTTCATCTTCATCAGACCATTCTATTAATTCATTTCTATTTATATCCTCTTGTCCTTGACGGTCTACATCTGAATGAAATTTATCAGTGACTTCAGACGGGGCAAAGTCTGCTGCGGTAAAAATATCAGGATTGTAGGGATATATCCCTGTACAATCAAATGATTTTTCACAGATCTCTATTGTAGCGACTTTTGAATAAGCTGAATGGAAAAGCGCTGCCATTTCTCTCATTGTGATTGGTCTCCCAGGATTACTAACCATCCATTTATCACATTCTCCAGAAAAAGCCGTTTTTAAGGGGAAGAAGAATACTCTGTCCAAAGGCTGAAGCTTATGACTTCCGTGGGGTGGTAATGTTAAAAGTGTAATAAAATGGCTCCTCGCAAATAAAACTGCTTCCAGAGAGCAATGTGAAATATGGTTGTCCATAATTAAAACTACAGGATCCGACTCGGAAGGTTTAACAAAGGTTGAAAAATGGTGCAACCAAACTAGAAATAATTCTGTGTTCATATACCCAGAATCAGATATCATCTTCAGTGTACCTGGAGGTGCCCCATAAAAAAGTTCTTCTTTCATACGCTTTCTAGCGAATATTAAACCTGGCGGTACCCAGGTACCAGAGGCACTCATACAGCATACTGCAGTAACTAATTGACCTCTGTCGGCTGACACTATTTTTGATACTGTTCTTTTGCCCTTTACTGCATAAATTTTATGGAGCTTGTTTGGAACAGTACAAAGTCCCGTCTCGTCCATATTAAAAATTCTGTGTGACAGCACTTTTGTTTTTTCGTAGACAAGTTTTAAATTTTTAAAAAATCTGTCACACTGGACTTTATTAAATCCTGTAGCCCGACCTAAACTACATTTTTCTGGAGCTCTTAAAGATAAACGATTTCTAGCAGCAAAGTCCTGTGCCCAATGTTTCCCTGCCATTAAATTTTGTTCGTTAAACCTATGAGAAATGTGGTTTAGTTTCGCGTATTGAAAAGCTAGTGATCTAACATCCTTCATACGAAGTCCGTAAAATCTCGCCTCCAGATCGCGAATATGATCCGCCAATTCTTTTTCTTGTGCTTTCGAAAATATTGGTTTAAATCTACCCAAGCTAGTTGGAACAGTGCCCTAAAAAAAGTAAAACGAGGAATAGTTTAAAATTTTAAAGTAATCCTACATATTACTTCACGCAACCTCTTCCTTAGAGTACATTCATTTACCCCCAATGCCTTTGCAACCGATCTTTTACTCTCTCCCTTTGATATTCTATCGGCTGCCATATTTAACATTTCTTGCGTAAATTTTAGTACTCTATCGCTCTTTCGTTTGTACGGGCTCATTATTATACTGTTTTGGAATTGTCTACAGCATAAAAATATTAAAAATTAAATGCTTTTACGTATACCTAAGAGTACGCACCTGTGCGTACTCTTAGGTATACGTTACGTCAGGTATATCTTACGTCACTTTAGTTAGAATATTAACCATTTAATTTTTGCTAATCCAATCTTTTTTGAGCCCTGATCGGGACCGGCCCACCGGCCCATCTTTCCAACGGCCCACCGGGAATTTTCCCGTTTTCCCATATGGCCCATCCACCCCTGCAGCCGTCCATCGCTAAAGAGGCTTTTTTGCATAATATTTTATGTATATGCATATTATGTGATTTGCAAATGATATCTATTTCCTGTCTTCATCTGGTGTTATAACTGTGTTTTTCACATCAATTAGAGTCTTTCAGTATGATGAAATTAATTGATTTTTAATTTTAAAAATAAATACAATATTCAATGTTCAATGATCTGCCGAACAGATAACCATTGACCATTGTAGAGAGATCACCATAACTCTAACAGGAGTAAGCTTATCACATGCAAGAACAATACGCATTGCTTTATTTTGTAACAAACCCTAGTGTGTAGACATATTTACTATAGCATGAATGAAGCGATTTACAGTAAGTAAAAATGAATGGTGGTCATTATCGGCACCAATAGTTCTGGGACATTATTATCTAATACAATATTTGTGGATTCAGATGTATCAGTCTGATGAAGTAAACACCTGGGAACACATCGGTATTAATCGGATAGATGCTCGTTTTGGCAAATCCATGAGTTCTGTTTTGAACCGGAGGGAGTTGCCTTTTCATATGTTTCATTTAGAAGACACGTAGTTTGAAATTGTGTTACAGTTTCACAACGATTAGCTTACAGCCACTTTGTTATTTCTTGGGCATAATAGGTTTTGAATGGCCCAAAAATTTACATCGAGTGGCTGCAACCCATATGTGCAGTTAGGCCGTAACCACAACAGCATAATACCATTTTCTTTGGCAAACACAAGGACACCAAAAGATTTGTGACTGCATTGTTCATCGACGATTAATAAAACCTTATTTTTTGTCCTCTTTTTGTAAACAATTCTTGGTGTTGCATTTTGGCGATTTTTGTCTGTTCACATAATTATTTCATCTACGGATGTATCATCTATGATTGTATTTTTCGAGATTCCGGACATCCTTGTGTGTTTCTGGAATTGGTTCTTTTTATTAAGTTTAAGCAGAATATCGGCTCGTTCTTTATATGTAGAATATTTAATGCCATTGCTCAATACATTGAGCGCCATGTTGGAAATAGGTCATTTATATTTTTGGCGCCCATGAAATTTCTTATCTGTTCGTAATCCGCAACTGCAGTTAGTAATATTTGTAATGTAATCAAATGAACACGTGTAGTACAAGGATACAAAAGCTTTTTTAGGATATTTAACATATTCTAACTTATCATTATAGCCGTTTCTAAGTTCGTATATCGGCTCGTTCTTTATATGTAGAATACTTGATGCGATTATGTTTAACACTTACACTGCTGACAAAAATCGAAGAGTCCACCCCGGAAGATAAATGTTTTCTTTGAGAAATAATGCAATGTAATGATACCAATGCAATGATACCATCGCAATGTTCTGCGCTCACATGGGTAGTATGCTATCATTTGGTCTTTTCTATCTATTCCTCCCATTAAGGTATTGTATTGGAGAATAGTTGCTGGCTTTGTTTTCTATTCTTTCCTTCTATTGAAATAGTTTTTTAGATTATTTCTAAATTCTGTGGATATATAGAAAACATCTCTCTTATCTTTCCATTTGGTAATCATTACTCCATTCGCATACCGGGCAATCGTTTCCCCTTTTTTTAGTTTTGCTGCCTACGTCTACGGGATTGTTTCTTCTATCCACTCTGATAGTTCCAATGCAATAGGTATTTCGGGATAATAATGTGGAAGCCAGCTCATAACAATTATAATAGTTATCCATATATAATGAATGTCCTGCATCCAATTTTCCGTCCATAAGATGCAGTACTACGTTGGCGGCATGTCCTTTTCCACCGAAATCATCTGGAGTGCCGGTATATAGTGCAACTTTTTTTTGCTTATGCATTTAAAAAGGATACAAAAGCTTTTTTAGGATATTTAACATATTTTAACTTATCATTATAGCCATTTATAAGTATTGAAGTCTTATCTTTTCTAGGAGGATTTATATTTTCTTTTTCTTCTTTCTGATATTCCTTAAAACGAATTGATGTAATTTTTATCGAACTCCAAATTTTCATTATGCTTCGTAGCGAGTTTCTCATTCAGTTGTAGGAATCTGTAACAGTTTATACAGGTTCGCTTTTGAGTAGAACCATTTTCTTCAACTAATATTGAACAACTTTTAAAAATATGTATACTAGCAAGACACAAATAATAATTATGTGTATTTGTTGGTCGGTTGGCATTTTTGCAAATACTGCATATTAAATTTTCTTCCTGGATATTCTTATGTTAAAAATTATGATCAAATTTTAGGTGTTTTGCATTAATTATATCTTCGTTGTCATCAATGTGGTTGACGTCTGAGTAATTATTTAGAGTTTCATTTATATCTAAATCAGATTATGATGACTCTTGGTGAATGAAATTTTTCTAATATTTAAGTCATTTTGAATATTAAGCTTAAAACACATAATAGAGCTGCAAATTTTTCGTTTTAACGGATTGTTCATATTACCCTGGTATATTCCTGTTATAATACAAAATGACTTCCTTAAAGTTTGCTGATGCATTTATAATTAAGACACTGATTATTATGTTGTCTATATGCTATATTTCGGTGTCACTCGCTAAACATTATTAATATATTATAACTCGATACTTACAAATCAAAAACAGAATAAAAATGTATTTGTTAGTTACATTAACTGGCACTAATAATGCATCATGGTGATAATTTGTTTAACCCGGAACCAGCATACTATCTATGAAGTACTTCAAAAAAACAATTATTGCTTATCCATCACTATCGAAGGTTTGAGCAGAATTATTTTTAAAGTAGTTCTGATAAGCTGTTATAATCAGTGTTGCCAACACAGTTTTTAAAAATCTACTAGCACAGATCAATTTTTCTACTAAAAATACACCAGATTTTTTTTAAATCCACTAAAAAATCCACTAGTCTTAAATGATAAAGAAAAACTGCTTAAAATACCTATTTTATTGATTGAAAATAAACCAAAAATAACAAGTTATACATATAAACATATAACGAGGGTTCGGTAACATGTAATATTCGGAAGATTTAAAAAAATATACCTATATGAAGGGTAAGGGGAAAAACTGACGATGTCAATTTTATTCAAATTTTAAGTAATCAGCTTAATCTGTTGAGAATACCAAGTCCTAAACACATGCTAAATTGTAATTGAATATAAAAAACGATGTCAAAATTACAAATATGACGCATACAGTAATATTTTTTTGTATCTTTACAATGGTATTTGGCAAAGTCAGTTTTGTGACATCGGTTTATGCCCCTTATCCTTTATATATTTTTTAAAATCTAAGAAAAACTTAAATAAAAATCACTACTAATATAATAAAAATATAATACGGAAGTAAATTCAAATAATACAATATGATCGAAAAAAAACACGTCAACGATGGCTATGAAATGAATGATGATCGTCATTCCCAGGATTAATTTTTTATTATCCCTAATTAATCAAATCAAGTTAAGACTACCAGAAAATGTAAAAATATTACAAAATATATCTCACATAAACGTCGTACAAACATGTAAATCAATAAAAAATAGTTTAATAGAATTATTAGAATGTATGGGAAAAACACCTGATGTCATTGAAAAAAATCAAAATCAGTGGCAATCGATCAACCTCCTATCATGGAATGAAAAACAAAATACGAAAAAGTTTTGGTATGAAGTACATAATTTCAGAAACTGTGCAAATGTAAATCCATTTGAAGAACTGTCTGGCTTTGCGCTAGAATTATTAATAATACCTCACTCCAATGCAGAGGTTGAAAGATTGTTTAATAAAATGAATTTCATTAAAAATAAAATAAGAAATCGGTTTCAGCTGCCTATGCTCTCTTTCATATTGTCAATTAAGGCGGGTCTATCTAGGTACAGCAAATGCTGTAATACAAAATGCTAATAAAAAAAATGCTGTAATAAATTTTTCAATTTGAGATTATGTTTTTTTAAAGTTTCCTTTATACTATCTACTAAATCGTCAGCGGTACTACCTACCAATGGCGCTAAATCTAAAAAAGTTGTTACAATTTTATTTTGTTTAAGCCTAAAATATATTATAATTCCGAGGTATTTCTGAACCGAAATGTCGGTAGATTCATCAAGTAGCAAACTGAATTTATTATCACCCACATCATTCTTTAAATCTTGAATAAAATGTGGACCCAGTAAATTTTTTATTATATTTGCACATTTTGTTCTGTGCATCTGCACTTTTTCAGTGCATTTGGAAAAGCTGGATGGATTTACAAACATCTACCGAATGATCTGTCAAATTGATGGCAGTATGTTGTGCTAGAAACGGTGCCAGACGTCCTTCTGCTCTCTTTGCTTCTGACAAATCAGATTCTTTAGGAAATATTAAAGTTGTTTGACGGATGGGCCCCAAAAAGATATTTTCATTTTTCTTGTGTTTTTTCGAAATACCGTCATTCTTTAAATCAGCATACCGGCTAGTTAGACACAGTCCACAAAACTTACATTTGGCAACAGATCCTGATGTACTTTCCACTGTAGTCAGCCAATTCTTTAGTAAAGGATCTTTTAACCAAGCATCTCTAAATTTCTGTTCGTACTTCGCAGGCATATCTATACATTTAATATTAATATAAAATACTTAGAAATTAATAAAAAAAAAATAATAAAAAAGACTTACCGCTTAGGGGCTAACAACAGTTATCAATCGTATAAATATAATCGTTAAAAAAGTTATAATTATAAATTAATATCGGCAAGTTGGAAGCATAGGTTGGAAGTAGAAATATGAAAAATTCCCCCAGCCCGAGTTATAGTCAGTTCTGCCATC